TAAGTTTCAACAGTTATTACATGCCACTTTTCACATGAAAGATCTCGACCAGCTCACATACTTCTTGGGCCTAGAAGTTCATCATCGGGATCAAGGTATTTTCTTATACTAGCATAAATATGTTCAAGATCTTGTTGCATTAGTTGGTTTGGAGGATTCTTCTTCTATCGATACCCCTATGGAAGTCAATGTGAAGTACCGAAAAGATGAAGGTGATCTTCTGGAAGACCCTACTCTATATCGTCGTCTAGTCGGGAGTCTTATTTATTTGACTACTACTCGCCCTGATATCTCTTTTGTCATCCATCAGGTCCGCCAGCTTATGTCTTCTCCTCGGTATCTGCATCTTGCGGTTGTTCACCGCATTATTCGTTATCTACGAGGATCACCTACTCGTGGGCTATTCTTTCCTCAAGGGTCTTTTCTTCAGCTCTTAGCCTACAGTGATGCTGGCTGGGCTGGATGCCGGGGATACACATCGTTCTATTACGGGTTGGTGTATATTTTTGGGTGATGCTTTGATCTCTTGAAATGTAAGAAACAAGATCGTGTTTCTAAATCATCTACTGAGGCTGAGTATCGTGCCATGTCTACCGCTTGTTCTGAGATCATTTGGTTACGTGGTCTTCTGGAGGAGCATGGGTTTCCTCAAGCTCATTCTACTCTTCTCCATACAGATAACATTAGTGCTATTCAGATTGCAGGCTATCCCGTCTTTTACGAACGCACCAAACACATTGAGGTTGATTGTCACTTTATTCGTGACGCTTTGATAGATCAAGTGATATCCCTTCCCTACATTTCTTCTGATCTTCAGGTGGCCGATATTTTCACGAAAGCAATGCCTCGACTACAGCATCAATTCCTTGTTGGCAAATTGCTGCTGGTTGATCTCCTCGCATCAATTTGAGAGGGGGTGTTACCTTGCATGGTTGTATTTGTATTTGGGAAAGCTGGTTTCTAGGAATTAGATTTATTCACTTTCCTTGTATATTCTATATCTGTACAATATATATATATATACACAATAGACAAAGTAATAAGACATAACGATTTTTACAGAAATTCTCTAGATTGTTCAGTTTCTTTTGTCAATTAAAAGTTTAAGACCCAAATGAACTGCTATAATTTTGAGGATATCCATCACCATATTTTATTAAATAATCGAAAAAATCAATCTTTCTCTTCCATCAAAAAAAAAAAAAAAGAACTATAAAATAAATTTCAATTATAATATGTTGTAAAAGGATTTTAGCTAATGTACCTTGTCAGTCATATTGTTGGCCCTGTCAAGTTTTCATACTGCAGATCTCAATTTTGTTGGGGTAAGTGCTTAGTTTATTGTTGAGTTTATTTATGATCTAGATATGGTTTTTTGCGTCAATGCCCGGTACAAATTTTAGTTTTACATTTTGTATTGTAGCTTTTGGTTGACAATTATCAAAATTAGGAGGGATCTGAAGCTTCACCCCGTTCCTAAGTAGAGCCTCAGAAGTTCACAATTTGCTGAAAATTAAAAGGTTTTCCTTAATCTGAATATAAATGTAAATTTTGGTTGACTTTTGATTTTTTCATGCTTTGTGATAATGGCTGTTATGAACAGAGGACAAGGAGTCGGATCAATGAGAAACTGAAAGCGCTTCAGAATTTAATACTAAATTCCAATAAAGTAATTGTTTCAAAACACATCATCTCTGATCTTGAGCTTTATATTCTTCTTATGTCTTTATTTTCATTCAGTATGCTGCATTGAGTTGATTTATTTTTGTTGTTTCGTATAATTGACTGACAATGTTGGATGAAGACATTGAATATCTGAAATAACTTCAACTACAAGTCTTTCTTCAAATAATACATTTTTTCTTTCACATCAAGTTGGGTCCATGGCTGGAAAGAGACACAAAAAAGGTGTGATTTGACACAAAGAATGCATTTTTTTGTAGAAAAATGGTTAACAAACGGAGGCTAAATGTTTGAATTTCACCTATGACTGGACAAGGTCTGGTTCGGTTCGGTTCGGTTCGATTCGATCCTGAAGAGAACTGAATCGAACCGAACCGAAATTTTCGGGTATTTAGTAAGTGGAACAGTCAGGTCCAAATTTAATTATGGAATCTTTCAGGTTCGATTCAGTTCTCACGTTCCGTACAATAATATTTTTTTAATATATTTACAACAACGCTACATTAATTCGACTATAATATGTTCAATCTTAACTCTTACAAAATAACGTAGTCCAATCTAGTGATATCTTTTGCACATTTCTTTGTTGAGTTCTTCATAAATATGACTGTTAAAATCCCGAGAAGAAGAAGGTTGCGAGTTCACAATAATAGAATGGCAGAAACGATACTACGGTAGAATAAGAGATTTTGGTAAAATTTAGGTCAATTTGATTAAGTTGAGTTTGGCTGAAAATTGAAAATAGTAAAATCATATTTTAGGTTTGAGCTAAATTAATTAGTTAGCAAATTCATGTAGAAAAAAATAAAATAATTTGACTTATTTAAAATAAGAAATTTAAAAAATTCGGAAGATTCGGTTCTAGGTCTAGAACCAAGAACCGAACAGAACCGAACCCGTCGATTTTTGATTTAGATACCCATTCGGGTATTTAATTTAAGAAGTATCGCTCGATTCGGTTTAGGTCCGGTTTGATCCAGTTGAGTTTGAGAGTTTTGCCAGGCCCTAATTTCACCACCACTATTTTATTTGATTATTTGGATTTCATTTTTAATCTATATATTGACTTATTAATATTTTTTGGAAGATTATAGGAGTTCATGTGATTGGTTAAAGTGGGACTCCATATTGGTCGATGGTTCAAAAATAAATTGCATGCCTTCTTTGAGAATAGAACTTCAATTGTTCTGCCATTTTGTGAAGTGTGTATAAACATTGGGTTAAAAATTGCACAATCCAAGGTATTTCCGTTTTCAGCGCGATGGATTGTTCTCAAGGAGGAGAAAGGCTCAAGCGATTCGCCCAAGAAACTGAACCATTGAGAAGAAGTGAAGTTGATGAATAGTCTACCTTTGAGGAATATATGTGTTCATCCATGTTAAACAAGAGTTAAAAGTAGAACTAGTTTTTGAAATCTTTAAATAATATATTACTCAGTTGTTTCTACCAATAATGATATAGAAAGTTAATATCAGGAATTCTTATCTCCTCATTTGCTAGTACTATTAGGTATAAGGAGGTATCAAGTTTGGCACGGGTGTTTCTTCATGTTTGAAATACCTTGAGATAGTGCCTTGGATTGAGGAAGCAGGGGAGAAGCTCAGAATTTTGTTTTCCAAAGTTAAGTTGGATGATGTTACTGCAACAGGCATTTTAACTAGACTTTGTAGCCTTGGTTCCGTTGATTTCCAATAAACTTTAGTTAAACAACTTGTTTGGTCGATAACCACGTGTTGATGCCACCGCTAGAAGTGAACAGAAGTATTTGGTCAAAGGTAGTGCAAAGGCTCAGTCCATGAACAAGATTTCCTTGATCTGAATAAAGAGGACATATTTCCTATTTGTGAGTCATGTCTGAGTTCACTCTTTAGACTGTTTGAGGAGGCCTGTGGCACTGACCATGCCATAAGTTGACAAAACATGAGAAAGATCAGCCTTTGTTAGAGCGCATCTCAAAGCAGGTCGACAAGAAATTTTCAAGCATATATTGCTTTTAGTAGTTGATGTAAAGACAAAACATATCTAGATTTCTCTATTGAATAGCTAAACCTATGTATTTCTATGAGAATATTGAGGCATGTTTTAAAATATATTTTTGGCGTGAATATTTCTGTTATATTTTTAGTCCACGAAAAGCTATTGAATGTTTACATTTGCCAATTAAGAAATTTTCTAAATACTAAAATCATATCATGAAAGTTACTTAATTACATTACAATAAAAAGAATGCTATTGACGATGTAACCATGATGATTAAAGAATGTTATTAGAGTTGAAATTATAACCAAAAAAATGCTATCAAATTAAAAAAAAAAAAAAGACAGCACAAAAAGAATGCTACAAATAATACAATGAAGAATGCTATTTAAAAGTTTTTTATAGCACTTTATAATAGCATTCAAAAAAGTTATTATACGACTTTTCATTCCAAAAAAAAATGCTGTAGAAGATGATAGATAGCATTTCTTATAAACTATAAATGAGTTGATATGTTGTAGTGTGATAGAAAACGAAATACAATGTAAAAAGAAGATTGAGAAGAGAAAGAGAGCGAGAGATTCAATAATGGCTACATCTTTATTGATTGAATTGATATGGAATACAAAGCATATGTCCCTATTTATAGGGAAATTACATTGATAGAAAAGGTAAATACATTGTGAATCAAATTAAATCAAAGTGATTAAGGTAATATCAAATCAAGATAATATTGATTTGATATTATCTTCAATCAATCTTCAATACTCCCCCTCAAACTCAAGGTGGAGAACTTCGGAAGCGTGAGTTTGAAATTTGATAGTAGCCTTCATTGTTGGAGAATGTTGCAGACTGCCCGAGAGAGAGGATTCAATAGAGATATGGAGGCCACAGATAAGTGCCGTGCGCATGGAGCATAACCAGGAGAGAGAGTTAAATTACCACGAGAAGAGGTTGTGATATGGAGAGCCATTGGCATCTGAAGCCAATTCCAGAACAAGTCTGGATCTGAGACAGAAGTTTCATTCGAGCCATGAATTAACATCTGTATAAGGAGAAAGAAAGATACAGAAAATAGAATTGGAATAAATTCAATGAGAACGGACTGCTGAGGTCATCATGTACTGATAGAATTCAGAGGAAGAAATGAACAAATTAGCTTCTGTCAATTGCTGCAAAATGAGGTCATCGATGAAGATCAATTGCAGAGCTGATGAAGAAAACAAGGAAGGATATGGAAGCATCACAATTCTGTCTCCAAAAATGCCTTAAGCTTCAGCAACAAGCACGTCAACAGAAGCCTGATCTTGCTGCAAAGATAACAGGAATGCCTGTTGGAGATGGACAACTCAGAATTACTTCTATTATTGGAGTCACCAGATTCACCAGTGACAAAGGATGAAGAAGGTTTAAGAATAATTAGGCTTGCTGAAGTCAGAAATGAGGTTGGAAGAAGGATTAATTTTGCATCAGAAATGAGGTTGGAAGAAGGATTAATTTTGCAGAAGTTGGCTGAAGCCTGGCAGAAGGGTTGATGTTGCAGGAATCAGAAACTGATGCTGCTGGAAATGCATGTTGCTGGAACAAAAATTCTGCTTGAGAAGAGAAATTGCTGGTAGTCTGTTCAATGTTTCCAGAACTCAATGAAGTCGGAGGAGGTCGCAGGAAGGGGATTGCTCTGATACCATGATAGAAAACGAAATACAATGTAGAAAGAAGATTGAGAAGAGAAAGAGAGCGAGAGATTCAATAATGGCTACATCTTTATTGATTGAATTGATATGGAATACAAAGCATATGTCCCTATTTATAGGGAAATTACATTGATAGAAAAGGTAAATACATTGTGAATCAAATTAAATCAAAGTNTTAAGGTAGATATGAAAATCAAATTAAGATAATATCAAATCAGGATAATATTGATTTGATATTATCTTCAATCAATCTTCAATATAGTGTGCAATGGCAAACAATACCTTGTGTCCACGAGGCGGCTGCTGACTTCAGTTACTTGCACCATCTCCAATTCTCCTACCCGTCTGTGCTTCGCCTTTTTTTCTCCTACTTTTTACCATCATTCTTGTGTAAGGACAATTGTAGTTGATGACAACATCCGCTTGGATCTGTGCATAAGCTAAGAAGCGTTAGACACTTGCAATAAATAAGAGATATTCTTATGCATGTAAAATCCGACTTACTGGTGTGTGTAGCCACACTAGGTTGTAACCCCAGTCGCTAAAAATGATAGGTCAAATGAATTTCTCCTATCATTTAACGCCACCTAAACTAGGATTGTAATCCCAGTGAGACTAAATAACATTACTCTTTGGAAAAAGGAAAATGACAATAGAAAGCAATAGAGAGAAACCAGAGAGAGACCCAAGTTGAAATTTCATCTCACCAGCTTATTTATAAACTCTATTTCTGTTAAACCAAACATAGATGGGCAAAAAATCGAAAAACTCAATCCACGAATATGATGAAAATCTAATTTATATCAACTATCTTATGACTGAAAATCGTTAACTATAAAATGACACAAAGAAGTACTTGTACACTAATTTTTATTTTTATTTTTGCAAAATTTACATATATACTCAAATAAATAACTACTTATCTTGTGGAAAATATAGCATAAATCTTTAGTATACAAGTCAATATTTATTACACGTCAAAAATTAAATTGTCATCAATATTATCTCGTAGTCATGACTAACTAAGACACCTTCATTTTTTTCGTATTCCAATTAGATATTTGAAAATTTTTAACTTTTATTCATAGAAAACTATAAAATATATGATTAAAAAATATATAAAGAGAAAATATTACACAGTTTTGCCTAATGAAATGGAACAAAGTCCATTATATGGTCAAAGTTTCATAAAAATATCCTCTATACCTGAAAAATCAATAATGATGAAGATTACTTGTTCTTTATAAATTAAAAAAGTATTAATGTAAAGACAAAACAATAAGAATCCCAACAAGGGGAGCATGAGTAAAATTCAAGCTCACATTATCCTCCACAGTAGACATTGCAGCTAGCGCTCAGACCTTCTAGCAAAAGAAACGAGAACACTCTAATTTCCTTGATTCTTCTTCAACTTGAAGATGTTTTTGTGTTTCTTTCAAAAAATAGTCTTTAGAAACCTTTCCAAGAAGGAGGAAACTTCAAAATAATTGCACCAACTTGGAAACTCTTGGGAAGTTCAATCTTTACCCCGCTTTCATTTTGTTTGCAATAATATGTAGTTATACTAATTGGGCCAACAAAGGCATATTATTCAAAAATTTGAAATCAAACTATTATGGAAAATGAACTTTTTGATACTTTCGTCATCGACTTGTATTTGTTTTCCAGAGCCTCCCATATTTCTCTTGCCAATGTTGTGTTGGTGTAGGAGATCGTCGAGATGATCCGACAAGGTGCTAAGAATTTACTTTGGCATATGTGATCCTTTGAAAACTACCCGCAAGTGTACGGGGTCATGATCAAATAATATAACGATGAATAGAGTGTCGAACTCACGAGAACTAAGTATTCAATCGAGTTCAAATTAATAGTAACCTTAATTGAATAGCAAATAAATTTTGGGTTTTCTATACTAATTTTTAAATTATCGATTAAATGAAAAGGCAATTTAACTGGTTTGATTTCAAATATGTAAAAGTATTGCTAAGATGTTAAATCCTCTTGTTAATCCATTTTTAACACAACGAATTAAAGTGACAGTTTGTAATCAATCTTGTTGGTCAGTGTTTCTAATTTAATTGAAAACATATCTCGATAGTTATCAAATATATTCTCCTCATGTGACATTCATATTTGTCGATGAAAGATGCGAACATGATAAATGCTTTAAACGATCTAGAGCATATATGAAAACTATGTAAAACATCCCCTATTGAACTTTACAATATTTATTAGTTTTAGCTAAAAACCTATCATCTCTCTCGATAATAATAAATTACAATAAATCATCTCAATTAGTAGCTAATTAATTGAAAAGTTGGTGAAAACAATAATAAACATCCAAGAAAATAAACATACTAATCATCAAAATAATTAATTAATATTAAAATTTTCAAAATAATAGTTCATCTCATCCTAACAATGTATAAAACTAGCCTTAGGCCCCGTTCGGGAGGGATTAAAAGCCAATTAAAATTGAAAATATGGCCGTTATTGGGCCCCACTCGTCTAATAAAAGTCAACAATAACGGCTATATTTTCAATTTTAATCTGATTTTAATCCCTCCCACACAAGCCCTTAACATATCGAAATTACAAGAAATCATATTTAAGTGAAAAGATATAACTCGAATTTTTGATTAATTGAGAAAATGAAGATGAATCTTGAAGTTTTGAATCTCTTCAATAGTTTCTTGATAAATCTCCACTTGTGCATTCTCTTCTTTGCCCAAAAATCAAGTTTGAATTTTCACTTGATTGAATTCTTGCAAGTTAACTTCAATTATCTCACAAAAACTAGGAATTATCTTCCTTTGATATAATAATTAATGAATATTGGAATATGAGATATATACGAGAGGTCCCCCAATATGTATTTTGCTATTAGGTATTTGTAAGAGTAGAAAATTAATTGAAAATCACATCCAAATTGGTTTCCAAAAGAGTTCTAATCGAATAATGAAAATTTCATTCGTGCGTGACTTTTTTGTCTCTACACAGTAGTCACTATTTTGGTTATAACTTTCTCTATCGATATCCGATTGAGGTGATTCAAAATGCGTTGGAAAGTTAGCTCAAATGGAAACTTTTCTAGAATTTTTTTTTCCAATTTCAACGTTTACTGTGTCAAAAATGTGTCTCAATATTCGACTAAAAATTTGGAATATAACTTGTGCAATTGGAAATGGATTTTGATCATATTCCATTCATTTTTGAGTTCTAATTCCATCAAATTATCTCATAAAAATATTCAAAATATCTTCTTGTGTCCAAATCAACTATTAAATAACTACAATTTGGTCCTTAAATTTTGAATTTTGTCATTTTCACCATTTTTTGCTTCTTTCTTTCGATTCATCGTTCAACCATTGAGTTTTACGTATATAACATTAAATATAATAATTTAGGATATATTTCGTCAAAAGAATTATCAAATATCACTATTTTAGACCCCGAATAAGTGTATAAAACGTGTCACGTCAGATTTTCATTAGTCACGTCGATGAATAATATAACAGATTTTTGATGGTGATGGACGGTGTGCAAACGAACAATGTTCAGTAAGCACTGTGAAGCACTTGAAAGTTTAGTGAGCAGTCCGTGACCATGGTATGAGTTGAATGATTATTGAAACAATTCACTCCTCATTATTTCACTTTATAATGAAATGAATAATAATTTTTTAAAAAATGTGTGGTTAAAAAAAATGAATGGTTTTTTTTAATTTACGTGTAATATTTTTTTTTTTTTAAGAATGTATTGTTGATAAAAAAAAATAAAAAAATAAATTATAATTTAATGAAAAATAATGGCTGACTAATTTTTTGATACATAAAAAAATATTAAAATACATATTGTGCTTTGAACTAATTATAGTAAATATTGAATTTGGTAACTACACTAGAATGGTAATTGATACGCAATTAGACCTTATCCAATTCAAAGTATTTGAGATGATTCCGGAGAACATTTGATAAACCGCCTTCAGGCATCAGACGTTACGTGTCTTGTAGGAAGCGAAAATCCACACAGGTTGCCTCATTCTATATTCGAAGGTATCATCAAATGTTCTAGGGTTTCAGTTCTTCTTAAATTTCGTATTATACTATTTATTTGATATATTTTTGTGTAATTCATATTAATTTTTTTATGTATACATAGAGCGAAAGTGAGTTTCACCCTGGGGACTGAAAGTTGTCGAGTTAATAAGTGTAATTGCGCCGATTGGATTCGGATGATGTTCCGGATGAAGATCGACTCGTCGCCGGAGTCTAACACTCTGTCTCACCACGAGCTTATTCTTCAGGTACAATTATAAATTTTTTTTTTGTTGAAGAAAAAGTAAAAAAAATATATATATATATTCTTTTCTCTACGTAATTATGCGATTGACAGTGCTGTGAACTTGATTTCGTTAATTTTCTGGGTTTAAGAAAAAATGATTTGTGAGCTCTCTCTAAATTTTTGGGGTTTTGTTTCTACTGAAAATGAACCGATTATTTGGGAATTGTTCATCAATGTCGATTTTAAATGTGTTTTTTCTGTTAATTCTTTTTGCCTACCAGAGGCTAGCAAGGCTGGGGGTTGCAGAACAGAATTTGAGTCAAGGACCTCGGGGTTTGGTTGCTTATGTCAAAAATGATAAGTCTCAAATAGCGGAGTTGGTCTCTGCTATCTTGCCTAGTGATGAGGAGACAACTGAGGCTGTTTCAGAAACTCGTGTGGAGAGTACAAAAGAAGCTGCTGAAGATATCTTTTCTGAAAGTATGATTTGGTTGCGATGGTTGATGTTTGATGGTGACCCAAGCCTTGTACTGGAGCATCTAGCTAAAATGAATGCTAACCAGCGTGGTGTTTGTGGGGCTGTATGGGGAAATGATGATCTTGCATTCCGGTGCCGGACATGCGAACATGATTCTACGTGTGCGATTTGCGTTCCTTGTTTCGAGAATGGAAATCACGAAGATCATGATTACTCTATTATATACACAGGTGGAGGGTGCTGTGATTGTGGAGATATTACTGCATGGAAACGCGAAGGATTTTGTTCAAAACACAAAGGAGCGGAAAAGATGCAACCCCTTCCAGAGGATTTTGCAAAGTCTTTGAGGCCTGTTTTGGATTCCTTACTTATTTATTGGAGAGAGAAATTACTTAACGCAGAAATTGCATTTCAGGGAAGTCCTAGTCATGTTGCTGAGCTCCCAAAGGCTGCAAATGATTTGACCTCTGTGGTGGTGGAGATGCTGTTGGAATTCTGTAAAAGCAGTGAAAGTTTGCTCAGTTTTATTTCTGTGAGAGTATACTCATGCCCTGGTTTATTGGATGTTTTGTTAAGGGCAGAGAGGTTCTTGAGTGATGGAGTAGTTGGGAAGCTCCATGAATTACTTCTGAAATTGATTGGTGAACCTATATTTAAATATGAGTTTGCGAAAGTTTTTTTAAGCTATTACCCAACTGTTGTAAATGAAGCCATAAAAGAGAACAGTGACGCTGTCTTCAAGAGATATCAACTACTGTCAACATTCTCTGTCCAAATTTTGACAGTGCCTACACTAACTCCACATCTTGTAGAGGAAAAGAATCTGCTGGCCATGTTGTTTGAATGTTTGGAGAGGATATTTGTTTCTTGTGCCGGAGACGATGGGAGGCTGCAGGTACTGAAATTCTTTTTCCTCTTATTTTTTCTGGCTATGCTTATTTCCGATTCAGATGAACGGACTTTCGATGATAATATGAAGCTGTCATTTTTTTGTGTTGCAAAATTGTTTGTCATGTATGATGGTGTTAACTGGAGTTGAGATTTGAAGATTAGAACTCAGACTCGGTGATGTTGTTGAGTATACTTAACAACTTTGATCGTTGCTCCCCAATGGTCACCAGTTCGAGTCCCCTCAGGGCCACTGAGGTGAGTACCCGGCCGTAAACTTCAGGGCCCCGTGGAATTAGTCGAGGTGCGCACAAGCTGGCCCGGACATCCACGGTTATCAAAAAAAAAAAAAAAAACTTAACAACTTTGATCGGCTTGACTGAGTGACAAAGTCAAGACTCAGAAATAATATCCTAGAAGATCAATATACTCATAATGGCATATATTGTGTAGCTAAACGGAAGTGCTGAAAAAGGCTTAAATGGGTACCAAGGCGTTTTGCCTATGTGAGGCACGGCATAAGCCTTGAGATGCTTTGAGTCACAATTTATAAGATAGACTAGTAAATAATTCAAAATTTCAAAAGAATATAGAAGTACGAGAATATGCTCATACTTCATCATCCACCATCTTAAAAAATCTAAAACAAATTTAAAAAAATAGAAGTATAGCTTGCTAACAAACATAGAAGAAAATTTGCAGTAGAGGTCTCAAGCCTTTAAAAAATGTGCCTCTAGGTCCCGAACCTTATAATCTTCTACATATATTCCAAATTTTTAATAAATGTGCGCCAGAAGGACGTTTGGATAGTTTCCATCCAAAAGACTGTTAGTTGACCAAAACTTCATAATTTAACCTTCATTTGAATAATTTAATTAAGCCTCAGGGCCACTGAGGTGAGTATCCGTTCGTAAACTTCGAGTCCCGTGGGATTAGTCGAGGTGCACGTAAGCTGGCCCGGACATCCACGGTTATCAAAAAAAAAAAAAATTGAATAATTTAATNCCCCCAGTTGGTCGAAAAACCAGGGAAAATCTCCTTAGTTTTTCTACTAACCGGAGGGGTTTTCCTTTGGTTGGTTCTCAAAATCGCATCCCCATAAAAGTTGATACTTGTTAATATTTTTTCACTTGAGTAAAATTGAAATAAATAGCTTAAAATCAAGCTTTTAATTGTTCCGATAAACATGAGAATCGAAAAGTAATTGCGGACCCATCCCCCCACCTCCAACAGGGAGATTTCTCCCCACTGGTTTTGGGCCAAATGCCGGATACCCCCAGTTGGTCGAAAAACCCGGGAGAATCTCCTTGGTTTTTCTCTAACCGGGGGGGTTTTCCTCTGGTTGGTTCTCAAAATCGCACCCCCATAAAAATTGATACATGTTAATAATTTTTCGCTGAGTAAAATTGAAATAAATAGCTTAAAATCAAGTTTTTACTTGTTTCGATAAACATGAGAATCGAAAAGTAAATAGAATAAGAACGGCCAAATAGTGTGTTAGAATCTACAATTTTACAAGGGTTTCTTAAGAGAAATCAAGAAAATGTATAAGTATACAACATCGATACAGATAAAGAGTAGCTAAATCACGACCTTAAGATGGATTAGAGTTGGAGTCCATCTGTTGATTTCCGATGTCGGTGGCTTTCATCAGTTGAGTTCCTGTGTCGGTGGCTTTCATTCTTCTTTTAATTACCTACCAGAAACCTTATTTTCAGCAGAAATAAATGGTCAGAGTTTTCACTACAGTCTCATCTCTCCGGAGAAAAATCAGAGCTCCGATGGATGCCCCCTCGCTTCAACTACAAACAAATACAAAAGCATAAAATTTGATTTTTCAAAATTGGATGAAAAAAATATCCTTTCTTCTCCCTCCTTTATTTTTCAGCTTAGGAAAGGGAAATAAAAAAGGTGGTAGAAATTTGAGAGCGCAAATGAAATGGTGGGCACTGGAGAGAAATAATCCGGCAAAACAGGAGGCTCCTTCAATGATTTTGGAGAGAAAAAATGAATTTTAAACTGAGGAGACAAAAGGATGATGGGAAATGAAGATAAGAATAAATATAGGATTTTAAAGTAGATTTGATTTAAATTATGTTTGTTATGATTATCTAATTATAACAGATATAATCTAAATCCTATATTTATTCTTATCCTCATTTCTCACTATCTAAGCCACGTGAGAAGCTACAACGAGTCTGATCATGGTTTTAGATGCTGCAAGACCTGGACACCAAATCTTTTTAAGTTGTCAAAATAAAATTTAGTGAATATGTGGACTTCTTAATCAATTAAATTAATTTCTACTTATATTTAGGTTGTGTTTGATACACCACATTTTCCATGGAACCATTTTCCAAGTTTTGTAGTGTTTAAAGGCAATAATTTTCTTGGCATTTGGTTTTCCACATTGGTTCCTCACGCGCATGTTTCCTTGGATTTGCTTGAATTGTTTTTCCCACCTTTTTGGTGGGAAATAGAAGTTTCAGTTTTTTTTCTCTTCAATGGAAACAAATTTCATAAACAAATCTGCTGGAAAATTTTTTTTTTCTTTTTTTTTTTCAGCAATGAAAACAAATTTCATAACCAATTGTAAAAAAAAAAAATTCATTTTAATAGACAATTTCTAGGTAAAACAAAGTCAAACGAACACTAAACTTTGATGAAAAAATGATAATCTAGGAAATTTTTTTTTTATGTTTTTTGTTTTTACTTTTTGGCAATGGAAACAAATTTCATAACCAATTGCGAAAAAATTATTAGAACAATTTTCATGTAAAACAAAGCTAAACGAACACAAAAAGATCCGAAATTTTAAAAATTTTCAGGTGAAAAATTATACCAATCAAACACAATTAATTAACAATTCCTTGAAAAACAATTTATAAGCAATTACTTTCTCTGGAATTCATGTTCTTTCTGCTCATTTTCCACCCTTGCAATCAAACGGACCTTTAGTTACTATTAAAATATTTCGTAGTGATCCTTCTCAAGAGATCTCTGAAGTGTGTTATATTTTGTCGTAAGGATTCAGAGGGAAATTCTTAAAATGTCTGTAACATTTTTCAATTGTAGGTGACACATTTGTGATTTTCTTAGGAACTGATAATTTAATTTTCTTAGGAACTGATAATTTAAATTTAATAGACAATTTCTAGGTAAAACAAAGTCAAACGAACACTAAACTTTGATGAAAAAATGATAATCTAGGAAATATTTTTTTTATGTTTTTTGTTTTTACTTTTTGGCAATGGAAACAAATTTCATAACCAATTGCGAAAAAATTATTACTTTAATGAACAATTTTCATGTAAAACAAAGCTAAACGAACACAAAAAGATCCGAAATTTTAAAATTTTTCAGGTGAAAAATTATATCAATCAAACACACTTAATTAACAATTCCCTGAAAAACAATTTATAAGCAATTACTTTCTCTGGAATTCATGTTCTTTCTACTCATTTTCCACCCTTGCAATCAAACGGACCTTTAGTTACTATTAAAATATTTCGTAGTGATCCTTCTCAAGAGATCTCTGAAGTGTCTTATATTTTGTCGTAAGGATTCAGAGGGAAATTCTTAAAATGTCTGTAACATTTTTCAATTGTAGGTGACACATTTGTGATTTTCTTAGGAACTGATAATTTAATGTAGTTGTTCATCATGGTTCTTTTTCTGTTCTTTTTCTTGGAGGCTTTTTGATAACAACCAATGGGTTTGTATAATACTTCTAGCTATGTAATGTGTTAATTGTAACTCTTTGAATTTGTGATATTGTTTCTCCTTTGTTTGGCAGTGGTCGCCCAGCTCTGATCATTTTAATGGTGTTGTGATTTGTTATTTATTAGTGGAGTCTATTTATATGTTTGCCCTAAGTTCTTTTTGCATAAAAGAAGGTTGAATTTAGTTTCTTTGCAGGTTGCTAAATGGTCAAACTTGTATGAAACTACTGTTCGTGTGGTTGATCATATAAGATTTGTCATGAGTCACTCTGTTGTATCCAAATACCTATGCCATGGTGGGAGAGATTTAGTTAGAACATGGATAAGATTATTGGCTTCTGTGCAAGGAATAAACCCTCAAAAGCGAGAAGTTGGTAGTCACATAGAAGAAGAAAATGAAAATGTTCATCTGCCTTTTATTTTATGTCAGTCCATATCCAACATTCTTTGTCTCTTAGTCGCTGGAGCATTTTCTGTGAATACTAGTGAGGAGACTAATGAAGATGCTTTCTTCAGCGCTTATAAACCAGAGTTTGAAGACCAAGATAGCCTAAGACATGCAAAAGTGGGAAGGCTATCGCAGGAAAGCTCCGTAGGTAGTGTTATAGGGAAGAACGCATCTGATCATTTATCCAAGGCCACCGACTATATTCCTATTCCATCATCTGCTTTATGGTTGACATTTGAATGCTTGAGGGCTATCGAAAATTGGTTGGTAATCGATAACACGGTTGGCTGTCTCAGAGTCTTGTCTCCAAAATCAAATAATGGCTCTGGTAATAATTTCTTCGCTTTAAAAAGAACGCTGTCTAAGTTCAGAAGAGGCAGGCCCATTTTTAAATCATTCACATCATCTGATAGTAAGCTTACAATTTCAAGTGAAGTTTTTAGTAAACGATGTTCTTCACCGTCCCATGGTGGTTTTAACGTTGGTGTAGGATTGGAGTGTGGCCGATCTAATGGACAAGAAGCTGACCCTGGAGGTTGTGACGACAGTATGTTGGATGGAGAAAGTTCCGCTGAGTTTGAAGGCCTTCGATTTCTGAATTTCTCAGATTGGCCTGATGTCATGTATGATGTTAGTTCACAGGGTATCTCAGTTCATATTCCCTTGCACCAGTTACTTTCAATGATTCTGCGGAGAGCACTCAAACAATGTTATGGTGAATCAGCATCGTTGGATATGACGTGTGCCAGGGCTTCAGATAGGTCATCTGTGATATATAATGACTTTCTTGGACACATTTTAGGAGGTTGCCACCCTCATGGATTTTCTGTCTTTGTGATGGAGCATCCCCTTCGAATAAGGGTGTTCTGTGCTGAGGTTCATGCTGGAATGTGGCGTAGGCATGGGGATGTTCCCATATTAACTAGCGGGTGGTATCGTTCAGTTCGCTGGTATGTGAATCTCTATAATGTATCAGATCATTGAAAGCTCTGCTTTTACAGTTATATTTTGTGATTTTGTTACTGTCTTAGAACTCTTTCTTCTTTTCAACTTGTTTGTGCAGGTCTGAACAGGGTCAAGAGCTTGATCTTTTCTTGCTGCAGTGTTGTGCTGCATTAGCTCCAGCCGATCTTTATGTCAAGAGAATTTTAGAACGTTTTGGGCTATCGAACTATCTGTCCTTGAATCTTAACCCGTCTAGTGAGTATGTAATTTTCTCTTCGCCTTCTCCTCAGCAATTTTTTTCCTTAAAAGTGAAGCCTTTATCATGGTTTCATGCATGATTTATCCTAGATTCTAAGCATGCTTTGTTAGTGTGTGTTTCTACTTTGTAGATCAAATTGTTGGCCATTGGTGGAATAAGCTAGTACCCAATCATGGAAGTTCGGATGAATGGGACATTTCTCATATAGAATTTACTACTGAGTACCTACAAGGATGGCTCCATACGTCAAAGACTAATCTATAATGTCAATTTTTGTAGTGAACAAGTAATATTGTCCATTTACCGTAGTTAGTTTATTATCCAAGTCCGAAGCAGTTATTTTTCGGTAGTTCAGGCTGACTTGATGCTTGAGTTGAATAAAACATTGAAACTTTTCTACAAATATTGAGATACTGGGAAACAACACCTAGGACATATTATAAAAATATAAAGGTTTGCACGTGTCAAGTGTATGAAATTTGTGGTATACGCCAATTAGATTTCATGCAAGTGCTGAATCACTCAACATCCTAGTTTCAAATATCAGGAGCCATGAATGAGAATAATGTTAATGAGTACTGGTTTACATCATGTGGCTTCTACAACGAGGCTTGGCATAGGCTGAGGCTCCAAAATAAATAATATTTAATAGTGCATATGTTCTTTCATCTCGTGTATATGAGGCTATTCATGAATTTTTATTTATTGTTGAATTGGGATGATTCACCTTGGTGGCTGCTTGTATTCATACCGCCGCACCTAAAATCAATTCTGTTGATTTGGATTTGGAGATATATCTGTTCTTGAGAATTACATATTTTTTATGATCTTACATTCCTTAAAAGCTTCATTGACAGCTCATATTCGATCCATATTATTATACACTTTGTTTTTGTTGTAATATTTTTTGTGGATTTTTCCTGGTAAGTTTAATCATTTTTCCAAGTCAAGATTAGCCACATGGTGAGGGTTGAAAGTCTCTGACATGCAACCTGCAAGTGTCCAAGTACGTGTTTGAGGCAAAATCGGTGCTTTGAAAATATAAACAGCATAGTTGTTAGTTGCTTTGGAAATATATGGGAGAAATAGTAGTTTATAAACTGATCAGCGGACTCAAATTTATCTTGTTGGATTAAAAGGAGGGCTAAAGAACCAATAAGATGAGTAATAGTGGAGCTTAACATCACAATCAACTTATTAGAAAAAGGTTTTTTGACAATGGACCCGATCGAACAAGAAGTAGAATTGTAGGAGAAGAGAAGAGGGAGGGAGGGAGGGAGGAGGGGAAAAGAAGAGAAGAAGGGAGAGGGGAGAGAAAAAATTACTTTTTATTAAGTCCCTATTTGAGCTTCATTCTTTAAAAACTCATTTTTTCCAAAATTCATTTTCAATCTTCTCTCAATAAAATAGTTTTACACGTAAACCCAAAACTTTTTCCTACGTTTTAATTACAAAAACATCACAATTACAAAATCTATTCCCCCAAAAGTTGGGGCTCAAACAAACCCTTAGTAGTCAAGCATGTAAAATACAATGCATAAGCCCCTTGTTTTATAGGTTTTAACTAGTGTAAGTTGAGTAGGAAATAACTAAAGAAATAACATAAAACTAGAAAATCTATAAAATAAACCCTAATTACTTAGCTGTCTTTCTTCTGGCCGGCTATTTAATATCCTGGTGACAGACACAGATCACGGTTCTTCTATGGGGTAAAAAATGAACTCCTCAAGTTCCTACTTTAAGCATATGATATGATTGATAAGAAATCCATTAGTTTTGTGTGTGTGTGAAAATTAGAAGTTGCATAAAATACCCACCTTCCCACGCGCCAGAAAATCTGTTCCAATCCTATGGGTTATTTGCTAATTTATCCATTCTTCTTGTGGGCTACTATTTGATTTACTTCATGGGATAGGGCTACTACTTGATTTACTTCATGGGATAGGGCCCGAATATTGTTTCCTTCACTCAGATGACCATTTTTGTTCAATCTATTTTTTTCAGGCATGAATCAACTCTAGTTGCAGAAATGCTGACTCTTCTAATACAAATAGTGAGTGAAAGGAGGTTTTGTGGGCTAACTACTGTTGAATGTTTGCAAAGAGAGTTGGTGTACAAGCTCTCTATTGGAGATGCCACTCGTAGTCAGCTGGTGAAATCTCTTCCTCGAGATCTTTCCAAAATTGGTGAACTTCAGGAGATATTGGAAACAATTGCAGAATATTCCAATCCATCTGGCATGACTCAGGTTGATTTTTTAATATGAAAAATGAAACTTGCTTTTGTTGTTAGACCCTAATTTCTTTCTGTATCTCAGGGCATGTATAAATTGAGATCTGCATATTGGAAAGAACTCGATTTATATCATCCTCGCTGGAACTCAAGAGACCTACAGGCTGCAGAAGAAAGATACTTTCGGTTTTGTAATGTTTCTGCATTGACAACTCAGCTTCCTAAATGGACAAAGATTTATTACCCTCTCAGGGGAATTTCTCAAATAGCTACTTGTAAAACACTCCTTCAAATTGTCCGTGCCATTCTTTTCTATGCTGTTTTCACTGATGAACTCACACCGTCTCGGGCTCCCGACCGTGTTCTTTTAAATGCACTGCATTTACTGGCACTAGCCCTGGATGTCTGTCAAGTACAGAAGGAATATGGTGACCTGTTATGCAATGCAAATGATGTGATTCCATTTTTGGCATTTGCCAATGAAGAAATATGCATGAATAAGTATGGTGATCAGAGCATGTTGTCACTTCTTGTCTTGTTGATGAGGATGCATGAGAAAGAAAATGCCGAGAACTTCATGGAGCCTGGCAATTTCTGTCTCTCAGCTTTAATACTGAATCTACTCAAGAAGTTTGTGGAGCTTGAACCTGAATGCATGACCTCGTTGCATAAACTCGAACCTGAATTAGCATATCAACTTTCAGTATCCATTCATCATGGTAATACTAATGACATGGCATCGTCTTCTGATAGTGAAAAGCGCAAAGCAAAGGCTCGAGAAAGACAAGCTGCCATATTGGTGAGAAGTTATTTTTACTTTAAAATGGTTTCTGGTTATGCTAAAAGAGAAAATAGGATTCCCTGTTTAATTTTGACATGATTTATTTTCCAAATTTGAGATGCGGAATGTGAGTATGGCATGCTTGAGGCTGTATATATTTTCACACAATCAGAATATTAACTATTCAAAATTTGTTATATTCATTGTTTTTCCGTCTCATAACCTTTCTTTACCAATATATATTGTTGGGAAATTCCACGGGCTACGTTTATGAACGACAATTTTTTTTAAAATTGAGTTTAGTTTTCAGTTATTTGCTATATGATTCAAGTTGCAAATTAGGGATGGCAAAGGTTCGGTTCGGGCAAAACCATAACCGCAGAGGCTGTATATATTTTCACACAATCAGAATATTAACTATTCAAAATTTGTTATATTCATTGTTTTTCCGTCTCATAACCTTTCTTTACCAATATATATTGTTGGGAAATTCCACGGGCTACGTTTATGAATGACAATTTTTTTAAAAATTGAGTTTAGTTTTCAGTTATTTGCTATATGATTCAAGTTGCAAATTAGGGATGGCAATGGTTCGGTTCGGGCAAAACCATAACCGCACTATCAAATTTTTGGCCATACCATAACCGCACCTCACCATGAAAGTCGGTTCGGTTCGACTCGATTAATAACTCGGTTCGGTTTGGTTCGGTTCGGTTAATAACCACGAAAATAAATTATTTTTTATAAATCCAAACTCCAAACGTCAAACTCTATGTTTACATGATCGGCGGTAACAGAATTACTAACAAATTTATCAAAACCAGCCATGCGAGAATGCTTTCCAACAGTAGTAGACGACTCAGATTGCGAAGATAATGAAGAGTGAGATANATTTCCTCAGTCAGCTCCTCATCATCACCTAAATCTATATGAGTAGGATTTGCATTTACCTCATTTGGATTTTGTGAAGTACCCGGTGTACTTGATGTATCATCTTGAATGCCAGTAGCAGCATCTCCAACTTAAACTGAAGTACTTCCAACTGAAGTGGAGGAGTCGGAACAGAAGATGCCGACCCATGGCAAGACATCTGGGCCACCAATCACTATATTTTTATTGAAATGGTTTATTCAACATTATCATAATCCTAGAAGTAGAATAAACTAAAAAACTACATAAATCAATACTACATCATTATTTAACATGATGGATTAATGTAAACAATAAGCATCCAGTTCTTGAGAGCGAAGAAATCTAAGTCTTTAAATCCACTACATATCTTCAAAAAATCTCTCTCTTTTATTAGTAGCTATGGATCATGAACTGGTGAGGGCGGAATTGGCGAGGGCTGCAGCGGATTTGAGTGGAGGAGAAGTATAGTCTGGAGACTGTAAACTTGGGTTTTAATTTAATGTGTAGGGTATATTGAAATTGGGCTATCTGGGCAGTGGGCTAGGTTATTGGGTTAAGGTTTACTTAATGTTAATTGAGCCAGAATTTTGGGAAGCTCAATTATCAAAATTGCCTAATTAATTTTGAGAAAGAATAATGGAAAGCCCAGTTGTCCAATTAATTTTTTTTTATAACTCCATTAGCCAAGCCAATTAGCGCCATTTCGGTTTGAACAGTTTGGGTTGCCATCCCTATTGCAAATGGACATCTTCCTATTTTTTGAACACAACTGAATGGTGTTCATGTGCAGCAGTAATCGCACATTCTGTGGTGGTGGTGGTTGGGTCGGAGGGTGGCCTAATTTTTTAGCGTTTCTATCTTGTTTAAACTGAGAATGCACTCCTTGTGTATTATCTTTTGATTTTGATTTATAAAATTTCATGATTACTTATCAAAAAAAATGAAATGCCAATAAAAAGAAATCTTAATTGAAAAACCGTGGTAGACTGCTGTTATTGCATTTTATTTGTTTGGTTGCTTGATTGCATGTTAACATGTGAGTTGTTAAGGTAACTCATTCCAGTCAATTTGATTGATTTTACCATTTTTATCTAGTGAAAATTGCATTTTTTTAAGTGCTCATTATTACTGATATATAGGAGAAAATGAGAGCCCAGCAGTCCAAGTTTTTGGCAAGCATTAATTCCAGTTCAGATGATGAAATGGATGGTTCTAGATCTGGGCAACTATCACGTGATTCTGATGTCGGCAATCCCCAAGAATCAGCTCAAGTTGTTTGCTCTCTTTGTCATGACCCCAATTCTAGATGTCCCATATCATTCTTAGTTCTTCTCCAGGTAATGTACTCTCTGGCATGTGTTTTTGTCATCTGTTTGTTATTTTTAAATTAAACTGCCTCAATGAAGCTTTCAGAGAAAGCATTAATCAATTTTCATGCCACATGATATCATTCTGATTTTCTATCTACTCTCTTAATGAAGAAATCCAGGGTTCTGAGTTTTGTGGACAAATGCCCGCCGTCGTGGGAGCATGTTAGCCATACTGGGAAGGAGCATGTTTCTAATAGCACAGCGACAATTGATTTATTCCAAAGTAGCGGTATATCTGGTGACTCCGAAATGGTCTCATCTTCTCAGTTGAAGGATATGGTTCAGAATACTTTGAATGATTTTGCTTTAATAGGACAAACTAGGGAAATGAATGCTTTTCTGGAATTTATTCGGGCATTATTCCCTTCAATAGAAAGTGTTCATCTCCCTTGCATATCGACAGATATGAAGAAGACAGCATATTCCCTTGAGGCATTAGAAGAACATATGTATTTGATGATTACAGGATTTCGTGCTAGTTTGTGTGACAAGGATTCTCAAAGGCCTGTTGAAAAATTTTCGACAGCTGGAGTCAACCTGGAGAGAAGCTGCAATGCTGAATCTCTTTTGCTTGGTAAATACATAGCTGCGCTGTCTAGAGAGGCATTGGACAATTCCTCGGCTTCAGAGCACAGCCGTTCTTTGAGGGACAGGGCACAATCAGAATCCAATATGCAGCATCCAGAATGCAATGGATTTGGTCCATCCGGCAATGGTGGAATTTATGTCTCTTCCTGTGGGCATGCTGTGCATCAAGGATGTCTTGATCGTTATTTATCATCCCTGAGGGNCTTTCTTTTTTTTCTCCAACTTCTTTTATGTGAAATTAGTAGTTACAGAAATTACATTTTGCATAATAATAATAATAATAATAATAATAATAATAATAATAGTAATAGTATTAGTAGAAAAGGACTCATTATCCCTGCCTTGTGGAAACATCTTCCAGTCTCCTGTCTTTATTGGGACATCTGTGCTGTTGGGCATCACAAAGGCACAAAAAACAAATTCAATAAAGTAGGGGAAATTTATGTGTTGTGCAGTTTTAAATTTCAATTTTGAGTGCAGTGGACATGAGAATGCAAATAAATTAATCATTGGTTAAATAAATAAATAAAGAGGTGAGGATTTGAACTTCATCATTCATGAGAAAACAAATTGGTATGTGTTATGGACTGGGAGTCACTGCTACTCTTTTGTCAGACTCTGAACTGCATGCACTGTGGTTATACTTCAGTTGAAGTTCTAACCCGAATATCTTCTCTTTTATATACATATAGAATAGAAATTGCACTATTAAGGTCTATAAAGTAGTATTGATGTGATTTCAAAGGGCATTGTTTTTGTTCTTACTTTATTTGCTACCGTGCAGATATATCAGAAGAATTGCCTTTGAAGGAGGGCACATTGTGGATCCTGAACAGGTTGAAGCTTCTCAAAAATAAAAAATAAAAGTAAAAAAATTTAACTTCTGAACTTTGAATAGCAGAATATTTTGATGATTTTGAATTAATTTGCCAGGGCGAGTTTCTCTGTCCTGTATGTCGGGGACTTGCAAACTCCGTACTGCCGGCATCACCTGGAGATTTTAGAAAGGTTCATCCACCATCTATTCAAACTGTTAATTCTATGAACGCTGCTAGCTCTTCATCCTTGTCGGATAGTAAAGTTAGTTCCCTTTCTCTCGAAGACGGTTTGTCTCTCTTAAAAAGCGCTGCTGATGTTGCTATAAGTAATGAGCTTCTGAAAGCTTTTCCATTTGAACAAAATGTGACGACGCCACCAAATCTTGAACCTGTGTTCAGTGTACTGAGTGGAATGTGCTTTCCTGGTGTGGATAAGGGATCTGGAAGGGTAAACCACTCAGTGATTCTATGGGACACACTCAAGTATTCCCTCATTTCAGCCGAAATTGCTGCACGATCCCGAAAGAATTCATTGACTCCAAATTATAGACTTGGTTCTTTATACAAGGAACTCAACTCTTCCTGTGGTTTTATATTGTCACTGTTGCTAAATGTCATTCAAAGTATCCGAGCACAAAATTCTCAAAACGTTCTTTTGAGGTTAAGAGGCATTCAGCTTTTTGCCAAATCTGTTTGCTCTGGCACTTCTCCAAATGAAATTTCCAACCACACTTGCCCACAAGAAGGTATGGTCTCAAGTGATTGATTACTGTTTTTTATTTGACTGTTGAATGCTGAAATTCATTAAAATGGTAAAGATATTAAAATAGAGCAATAAATCAACAGACCATTAAAAGATTTTGCAAACTCTCTTTATGGCAGAACTTCGGAATAGCTCATTTAGCTAAGTGATGTGCCTGGATAACCAAGAGACTGCTACTATGTTAAGATCTATTGAAATATATGCAATCATTTTTTATTTTTATTTTTTTTTGAAAAGGTAATCAAATATTTTATTAATCAAAACTTAATACACAGGAAGTGTATCATCAATACAAATCAGAAAGAAAACACATGAAATTAGGCCGTTCATCTATATGCCTAGTAGCCACAGTGCAATAATTGAAATGGAAATTAAAATAAGAAAAGGTTTTTGGAGGAGATTTGACGCGGTGCTTTTATTCCATTTTAACTATAACGACAAGCCTTTTGTCAGGGGCTATTCCATGCGTCATTACTCATAGGTTGGGCCCCAACGTGGATTTAATTTGCATCCCCAGTGATTTGAACCCAAGATCTCCCCCTTAAGAAGAACTTAAGTTGAATGTTTGTAACAATTGGGCAAAAGAGCTTGTAGGTGAAAGTATGTGATCATTACTGTAACCATATGCACTAGAGTTTTGATCAATTTGATGTAGAACGGGGTAGATAATAACATTAAACTTACAACAATATTTGTCTTTATGTATGTCAGTTACATGTCTATTATTTGCTCGATTAAGAACTGTAATCCTGTTATCAATTATCTATTTTTGTGAAGCAAATAATGGAATTATGGTCTATTAGTAAGATGTTGAAAAGGTTCCATAAGGTTGTAAACACTTTCCTTCTATGGTCGATTTAGCAACATAAATGTATATGGGTTATTTGGTACTTGGAGTTAGAATTCTACCCATTTCCTACCAGTCTGATCACTCATCCTACAAGTTAGAATTCTACCAACTTCCTTCCAGTCTGATCACTCATCCTTCAATTGCATGCAACCCACTTGCATATGATGGGCCCATGCGAGTCCACATTAATGACGAGTGGATGATTACAATTGGAGGGAATTGGACCTGGAGTGTAGCTGAATCCTAGTAGCTGTATAAGTTTAGATATGACATTTTCCTTTTTTTAACTACATTTGTTCAAAGTTGAAAAGTAGCTTTATAATATTTTGTAGGTCATTTGCTTTGTATATTGGAGAATGCTGACGCAGAAGTACGGTATCCGGATGTTCAGTTATGGAGACGCGCTTCTGATCCTGTCCTTGCACATGATGCCTTTTCGACATTAATGTGGATACTCTTCTGTCTTCCATGTCCATTTTTGTCGTGCAAAGATTCCTATTTGTCTCTTGTGCATGTTTGTTATGTTGTTACCGTAACTCAGGTAGAAAGAATTTGCCTTCTTTGACCTTGAAAAGATTGAATTATGAACTCTCTACATGACTGGCTATATATTTTTTGCTTTTTTTTTTCTTTTGCAACAGGCAATAATAATATATTGCAACAAACGACTATGCACTATTAGTGAGTTGGGATTTCATGATTGTTTGATCACTGACATCTTCAAATTTATGGACGAACATGGAGAAGCTCTACAAAGTTTAGATTCAAACTATATCAATCCTACTTATGATATGAAAGATGCAATTCGCAGTCTGAGCTTTCCTTATTTGCGGAGATGTGCATTATTGTGGAAACTAATAAATCATTCCTCTAAAGCACCCTTCACTGATGGGGCTTGCACGTTTGATGAATCTCCATACACAGATGATGATTCAGAGTGTGTCACAAACATTGTAGAAGAGCTTTCCGAGGTTGAAAAGCTGGAGAAGATGTTTAATATTCCCCCACTTGGCATTGTTATTAATGATAAAAAGGCACGGTTCACAGCTTTTAGATGGCTGTGTCATTTTTCTGAAGTGTGTGGAGTTCGTAACTTTCAGTGTGTGTTGAAATGTAATCCTGCAGTTCCTTTTAAGTTGATGCTTCTGCCTCATCTTTACCAGGATCTCTTGCAAAGGTGAACTTCTGGATGGCTGTAGTAGTATATTTTTCATTATTGTGTGAATCCGTCAATCATGTGGGAAGTCTGTTAAACATCAGGTATATTAAAAAGCGTTGCCCGGACTGTGGATATGTTCAGGAGGAGCCTGCATTGTGCTTGCTATGTGGCAAATTGTGCTCACCAATCTGGAAGAGTTGCTGCAGGTAATGCCAATTTTGTTGTGTTTCGTTTATAGATTCTTTTACATATGAGGTGCTATCTTTTCTTTTTCTTTATCCTTTTTTTTGGGTGTATGCATTGCGAGTGGGGTTTGTTTGTGTATAATTGTTTATGCTTCTATTGTTGTTTTAGCAATTGACTCTGCTCATTTTTTCTCAAGGGAAAGCAGTTGTCAAGCTCATGCAAAGGCCTGCGGGGCTGGCATTGGAGTGTTTCTATTGATTAGAGTATGTTTTACACCTGCAACATGCATTTAGAGGATAGCTGTCTAATATATAAATGATAATTATTTTTGTTCATGTTCTTCTTGGGCATGTGATTGTATCTCTTCACGGAAAATAAAATATGCTCCCAATATGTGTTACAGAGAACCACAATCTTGCTACAGAGATCTGCACGTCAGGCTCCTTGGCCATCCCCCTACTTGGATGCCTTTGGTGAAGAGGTGAGTTTTGGTTATTCAGGAACCTTGTCTTGTACTTCAGTGATCTGTTTTTATTTGTTCATAAACTTTATTTAATGTAGTAGTACAAAAACGCTCCATGTGTAGAAGGGTGCTCGTGCCAATGGCGATTGAAGCTTGGCTTGTTCACAATTTTTTTTGGCTTCAAAAATATCTTTACTCAACTTGGCTGAGCATCTAAAGATTATGAGTTCTAATAAACATTTACTGAACTCCAAATTTCTCTTGCTGAACAGTTGCCAAATTTGAATCTATGTTGAAAACTAAAATGATTAATGAAATTTCACATGCTGAACTGTAAATATGGGTGCCCCTTAAGCAAATATACTGTTTCTTTTAAAATTTTGTTATTAGAAAACGTGATTTTCTTTTTTCTAGTTCTTTATGGAGGAGAAGCCTCTAAAATCTTACATATGTTATATCAGGGCATAAGATTGAAAAATACTAATGACATGTTACTCTGAGCTGCATTCTTATGTATATATAGGATGATGGCTGGTTGAAAAATAGTTGATCCATAGAATCTATACTAAAATGGATCCTCTTGATAAGGTCTAGTGCTTGATGTATACCATATTTGGTAGTGATCTTAATTTTCTATCCACTTATTCGTGAAAAAGGATAGAATCGGGGTGCATTGAAAGTTATTCTTGGATTATCCGTCGAGGGATTATTTTTTGATAATAGTAAAACATGAATATTACTTGGTGTACTTAGTCTATGAAAATGCTTAAATTCTTTGATGAATAGAGGAAATACTAGGTGCATCAATATATTGACTTGTATTTATTGTTCTTGTCAAATTATCTGTGTCCAGTTTTTTTTTTTTCCCTTTTTTTTGGAGCAAGCAAGCTGCATTTGCCACAAAGAAAACTGCAATTTCCCTCATCCTTGTGAGAGTTGATAAGCAATTCTACTACAGAAGAACAACATGCATTTTTCATGAACACTTTTCTCCAAACTGTTTGCAGGATGTTGAAATGCGTAGGGGAAAACCGCTGTATCTGAACGAAGAACGTTACGCAGCGTTGACTCATATGGTAAAAATGGAAATGTTTTCTTATCGATCTACTTTCTTATGGCACTTGTATGTTGAAACCTCTATAAATGAATGAATGATAAATTAATAACCTCGCTAAATGCATAAAATAATAATCTTTTTAAAAATCCTTTAGTGCCCAACAAATATATGGTTCTCACAAAAATTCACAATATATATAAGGAACTTCTTACCTGACTAACTATTTTCTCAATTCAGCTCATACATTTAAATTTGTGTTTCTTTTTTGTAGCTAAACCAATCTTTACCTCAACATTAGTTTTTGCAATGAAACACTTGGCACATTGTTTCATTTTCTAGCTAGTAGGTATTTACTGTTAACTACTACTTGAAAGATATCTTTTGCAGAAACTGTTGATAAAACAAATGTCATCTGAATCGTGATAGTCATGGGTAGGGCTCATCATATCCCGTTAAAAATCTCTTCATCGGCGGGTTTATTTTTAATATTGAAAGAAGAAAGGTCTTATTAATAGTTCGAAAGTTATAATTTTTGAGTGTCAAAGAGAATTAACCTAATATTTCATCCAGGAGTCTCACTGGTATTTTTGATCATCAATTTTTGGTTTTTGGGTAGAACAGTTAATATGTTTGTTTTTATGCTTGTAACTTGTGATTTTTCCTTTTAGGTGGCCTCTCATGGGCTTGATCGAAGTTCAAAGGTGCTTCGGCAAACTACAACTGGCTCTTTTTTCATGTTTTAGCTTCAAGATATGTAATAGAAAAGATTTGAACGAGGTCTGGTTTTAATCTTGGATTTATCATCTGTTTTTTTTTTGTTTTTTTTTTCCCCATGGTAATTTTTCTCTCCGTAGTTTCTGCTTGTATTTCCATTGAGGTGACATATGGCATAGAGGCAGTGCCCATCAACTAAATGTACAGTTTCATTGAGGTTAGTTTGCTATTTGTTTATGCGGTTGCGGTTGTATATTGGATGTTGATTTATCGTTGTAGCTTAAGTTTCACTAATAATAGTTCTTACAAATAAGATCTTTATCCAAGGAAAATCATGAGAGGTACTGCAAATTATTTTGTTCATTTATTTGAAATCTCATCAGTTCCCATGTTACAACTGAGACATCACGCGAGACAGATAAGGCCATTTGAGGCAATTATAAAATGCCTCAAAACCCGTACCTTTAAAGCCATTTTTGAGGCTTAAGCCTCGGGCAACTAAGATGTTTACTTAAAATTTTGGCCTTCGCTTTTTTGAGTTAATTTTTATTAACTTAAAATGTTTTATCGGTTCTTTTATTTTCTTTTTTCTTACCTACACAGAAGGAAAAATGGGGAGAGTAACATTGCAGTTGGAGGATGATGACAAAGAATGAAAAGAAACTTATAATAAGGATGTTGATGTTAATGATTACCTTAAAAATCATATCAGGAGAGATGATACTAGAAACTTTTGAGTATACGTGATCACTAATTGTAGATTTTATTATTTTCTATTTTCTTGATCTATTCTATGTTTGTTTGCGTTGTAGACTTCTAGTTTTGCTAATTAGTGTTACTATGGATTTTTTGAAAGGATTAATTAGTTTTGTATTTGGTGACACTATCGATGTGACCTTTTTCTCCTCAATCCCCGTCTTATCTTGAGTTTTTGTCTCTCTGGTTTGTTTGCATCTTTATCTCATGATTCTCTACCCAGGTCATATGGATTGGCTTGGTGGTTCTTTGGCGAGCAGCTGATTTCTTCTCACCTATTGCCCATGTATAGTTCAATGTAGAAGCTGAAAAAATTTGTCTAGTTTACTACATATTGGTGGTGGTACCTCCAGATAATTATGATGTAAATAGCATCGTAACCAGCTATATGCCTTGTTAAACTAACGAAATATTTTGTCCTTATATTCTGTGTTGTGGATCGTTCTAGGATAGAAGCGCATGTTCTCACATTTAGTTTGAGAAAGCATTGATTAAGACAGTGATTTGTTACTAGATTGCAGGCTATATTGATTAAGATAATGAGATGTGGAGAATCTTTCATTTTAAGCAGTACACTTCAATGAAAATTCCAGATTGACTTTTCTAGGTTCACCCGAGCTTGGCTTGTTATGCAAAAATTTAGAGGTCGTTCTCTGTTTGCAAGCAGTTTTTTGTTTTCGATTTTTCAAAACGGTGAAAACGCGTTCTCTCTGTCATTTTCGAAAACGAATTTTTGAAAACAAAGGAAAAAATTTGTGAGTGTTGAAAACACAGATCACCAACTGGAAAACATAGGAAACAGTCCCACGCTCTCCTCCTTTCTTTTGCCAATCCACACTGCTGCCACTTTCCAACCGCCTAAACTCTGGCAAACCTCCTCCAAAACAGTCTGATTTTATATACCACTAGTGTACGAACGTGCGATGCATGTACTGCAATTTAGTTGGGTATTTAATAGCGTGGAGTGATTTTGAATTATTTTTCCAGTTAATGTTCAAATACTATGAAATGGTACTTTAGTGTGAGCCGAAAGACTGTATTACAATGAAAATAGTATAAACAAGAAACGGTGTCGAAAAGGAAACAAACACTTCTATTGTAAAGCAAATCAATCCACTACACGCCAATGCCATTTAACCTTGGGCAAGTTCCCACTCACAAGCCATAAATGCATCTAAGGCTTTAAATACAACCAGA